AGTTGTGTTGTTATTTAGTAATAATTATATAGTTATAAAGTAAACGTGCTAGTCCTAATTTTGTTTTTTATTTTGTTTGTTTGTTTACTTATAAAATTAGGATTTACAAGAAAGAGTATTCTTAATAAAATTTACCTTTAATACTAATATTTTGCTTTATATAAATCTTTTGTTATTCTAATTCTATTTCAATAACATTTTGCAACTCTTAACATTCTATTAGCGAGACCTATCTCTGCAGAATTTTGATACAAAATGAATACCTTATATTCATTCTTTCAACACCAATTCTAATCTAATAACAATTTCCAATCTAGAACGATCTAATAGTATTACCTATTTATGAAGATTTTTGATAACCTAGTATAATTAATAATGAAAACTGCTTATTTTTGTTGTGCTTGAGTTGTATTTGCCTGAAATCATAACTGATTAGACTTACTACTAATTATATAAGATTAGACTTATTACTAATTATATAAGATCTACTTTCAATAGCCAAATTTTAGTTAAGTATGACTTCTAGTGACTTATAGCAAGTAAAACGTACAACAAAATATTATTATTATTCAGTTATACAAAAATATATAACAGTGCATAGCAGGCGCATAACTGATAATTACTTTTACTACAATTCAATCTATCCAATCACAAACTAAAATAGCTTTTTGAATTGTTTCTGGATTTAGCGATCTATGTTTTTTAGTATCTATACCCGAACCTTTGGAGAACAGTCTCTCAGATAGAGCACTTATTGCTGGTATAGCAAGATAATCATACGCAATGAGCACTAATATTGGAAATTGTATAGTATGCATTTTCTACCACTGATATACATTTATGTCAGGATCCATCACAGGACTTTCTAAATATAAGCTAATTTTATTTGTGTTTGTAAGATGAAGCTTCCTGAAAACATGATTAAGCTGACTACTAGTACTAGAGATGTCATTAATTTCCAAATCTACTACTGGTATTGTATTTTTATATCTATTATATACCTCGTTTAGATATTCAGTTGCGACACTAATCCATTCCTCATCCTAATCATTTACTTCATAATATGCTTTTTTAAATCTCAGATCCAAAAGGGTTGTCACTGCATATACAGGACTGTCACTTCTGGCATAATAAAACTTTAATTTTGTATATACGACTTTAATAGCTTCATTAATTATTAAAGACAACCCTTTTTCTTGTATTTCCTTAAGGTCATCCATAATTAAATTAAATGTTGAAATGGCAAGAGGCATTGTCACATAGAACTCACTACACATTATCTCAGATATATTGCGAAAACCTTTTAAAGATAATAAAATTTCTTTTAGTATATTCCATTTTCCTGGCAAAAGACCAAATGTATTTAACTCAAAGACTTCGTTAACTATTCTATTAATTGCTGATGCCATAACAATAGCTCGCTCAATCATATTAAGAGTTGAATTCCATTGAGTTTTTGAATCAAGAAGTGGACTCTTATATTGTATGCCAAGAGATTTACACAATTCTTTTAATTTTTGTCGACATTGTAGTGAAGATCGAAGTTTAGAAATAAGTTTTCGAAGTTTTTTAATTGTTGGGGTTTGAGAGATATTAGGAATATTGGTTTGGTTCAAATTAATAAGTTCATCGCCTTCTTGATCTGGTGCTTCAGAATGCAGATATTGTAAAAAGTCTTGTAAAGCAATATTGATAATATGGGCAATACAATGAATATGCCTTTGCCATTTAATAAACGAACAAAATAAAAAACAAAATTAGGACTAGCACGTTTACTTTATAACTATATAATTATTACTAAATAACAACACAACT